CCATGCGCCTTGCGTTGGTTTCGACAGTGGTATCAAGAAAGCCAACCGTCCAGAAAGCAATGGCAAACTACTGGACGTAAATTAGCCTAGAAAAACCACACAACAACCAAGGGCTGTTGGGGTTGGTTCTGCAATGTCCTGTAAAGGATATGCAACTTACCTGGTGTTTCAAAGTCCTTCAAAGCATTCCATACACTATTTCAATGTACACTATCACACGCCTTTTTAAAATCCACAAAAACATTATGTACATCTTTTCTATATTCCCAATTTTGCTCTGATCTTTGCCGAAAAATGAATATCTGATCTATTGTTGATCTGTTCTATCAGAAACCCGCTTGGTAATCTCCCAATATGTCTTTGACGAATGGTTTTAGCCCTTTAGCAGTACAGCCGATAGTATCTTATAGCTTGTAGATAATAGTGATATTCCACTATAATTTCCACACTTACACTTGTCTCCCTTCTTAAAAATGGGTATTAAAAAAGACTTTTTCTATTCATTTGGTAATTTCTCCATCTTCCAAACTAGTTTTATTATTTCATTTATCTTAACATGCAATGCATGACCACCTTGTTTTAAGAGGTTAGCTGCAATTCCATCAGCACCAGTTGCTTTATTGTTTTTAAGCTGTTTTATGACAAACAGTACTTCTTAAAAGTCAGGCTTTTCAATATTTGGTTCATATGTTAATACTCTTCCTGTGGATAAGAATTAAGTGGAGTTTCACAGTTTAACAATGCAGCAAAGTATTTCTTCCACCTGATACATATTTTCTCATTATTATTTATCATGTTCTCATTGTGATCTTTTAACCTATAAATATAAATGCTTTGTTGATGTCCTTGTTTTACAGCCTTCAGTTCTTTAAAAAAACTTTCTGGATTCGTTGTTCTGATTGTTAGCTTCCATATCTATGACAATGTTGTTCATGTATTCTCGCTTTTGGTGCCTAACAACCTTTGTAGCTTCTTTACATTCAGTTTTATATTTTTCTTTATTTCATAGGTTACTAGTATCATTTAGCCAAATCTGCCTGGCGTGTTTTTTTCTTACTGACTGCTTCTTCACATTTTGTATCGAATCATTTATTCTTTCTGTTTACGGCGGAAAATCAAACAGAAGTAACACAGTGGCCATTTGAGTATGGCCACAATTATTCCTTAATAATAATATGAATGTTTTCAGTATAGGTTGCTATGTCATTGGCTTCACCACTGATAGGTTACTCTCTGTTATTGACGATTTCTAAAATCTCTTCTAATGTACTGTACAAATCTCTCTCCTCTAACCAAGCTTAACTTTCAGTGCTCTAGTAAACTGCCCTGTTCACAAAACCGAGTCCTTGTTTCTTATGACTGCCTGGCTAAGATGCCCAGTTCTGACTCTCCCTTGTGATCTGCTTCTTACTCCTTTTTCTCCACCTCATTATTTCTTTCCTTCTTAAAGCCCCTGTGATTTCTCCCATTCTTGACACCTGTTCATCTTCATTGTCTTAGATTCTCGGTCAGTTGTCCCATTTCATCTGCCCAAAAGATTAATTGTCCGACCAGCATTCCTCGTTATTTCATTACCACTCGGAGTGTCCGTGATCTTTCCTCGTTGCCATTCGTCACCTATTCACTCTTATCTTCCTAAATTCTCTGGCATGTTTCTAGCGCTTCGTCTGGCTGGAGTTAAATACCTCAGAGCGATGTGTCTTGCCATGATTATTTTAACGGGTAATCCGGGCGAATCTTAGATGCTATGGTTAGCCATTTCGCTGTATCTGTTATCGGAAAGATTAAAATCCTCTTCATGTCTGCACCACCTGTTCATAGAAGACCAAGGTGGTCCTAGCATGTTTCACTTCATACTTGTTCACTTCCTGATTGTTCCTGTATTACATCAGCAGTAGGGTGACTGTTTTCCGTTTTCAGAGAGAAAGTCCTGTTTTGTAGGTGTGTCCTGGCAGTCCTATCGGTAGTGAAAAATAAAAAATTAAGCGCTTATTGTCCCAATTGATACAAATCTAGGAATAAGCTTGAGAATAAAGCATACCCTTATATCTGTAGATCTTATTAGATTTCAGAGTTTTAAGATACTCATAATGCCTAAAATTTGTTGATGAGAATTTTCATTGTAGCATTTTTTCATTGTAGTCAAGGAGCATTTGGTTTTTTTATTTCTTGGTGGCAGTAGTTGAGATTTTAATACCATTGTGGAGCAGTTATTATTTAAATTAATCAACCCTTTCACCCAGATAACCTAGGGAGAAAAAGAGCAAGAAGGAGGTGAAGGGTGTTTAAAGTGACTTGCTTAAAATGTCCCATTTTTAGCTCAAAATATATGGTCACCCTTCTCATCAGTGTTATGTATATATTTTGATACTGGTGTTGCGAGATAAAGCATTTGGTTTTTGCAGATTATAGTTTTTAGTATGTCTTAAAAACAGAAATACTTAGGCTGTGTTAAACATCACAGTGACTTAGATATATCAGTAATAAAAAAAGTCATAACTAACTTATATAAATCTTTATGTGTATATATATATATATATATATATATATATATATATATATATATATATATATATATATATATATATATATATATATATATATATATATATATATATATATATAAGGCTGTACCGAATATTCGCTTCGGGGCCGAATAGTGGACCTAATAACTATTCGGTATTCGGCCGAATAGTTGCGGTCAGGCCGAATACGAATAGTGGTTACCTTACTCCTGTTTCTGCATACACTGTGATGGACTGAAATAACTCTCTCATTAACACAATAGTTGCTGTTGTCTAAGTCTGTCCTAGCGGGGGAAACTGAAACCCGGTTGCGTGGTACAAACTGCATAAAATGCCAACCGCAGTATGTGTGTGTGTTTGTGTGTGTAAGGGAGAGAGAGAGAGAGAGATCATGCATTTTTCTTTCTTTCAGGGTGTCTTCGCCCAAATCAAATTTGAAGATATTGCTAATGAGAATATAAAGGGGCGTTTAAATTACCTTGAACGAACGGCCTAGCGAACAATGGTTTTGAAAGAGGTGGGAGCCCGAAGACAACTAATCACAGACATCAGAAGGAGACAGTCGTCATTTTTCAGCCATGTAATGAGAAGAAGGAAAATGGAACATTTGGTGACCACTGGAAAGATTTGTTAAAGGAGGGATAGAGGAAGACGAGAGAAGATTCTTGACAGTCTTGTTGTATCAGCACACGAACTGATACATGATGCAGGAGATAGCAGATTGTGGAGAGGCATGATCGCCCACACCAGTCGGCAAGGCACCTGATGATGATGATACACTATTCGTATTTGGCCGAATAGTTGGTCCTACTATTCTATATATATATATATATATGTATATATATATATATACTGTGGGGTGACCCGTTTGCTATGAAGTTGAAACTAGGATTACCAGATTACCAGATATATATATATATATATAAAAAATATATATATATATATATATATATATATATATATATATATATATATATATATATATATATATATATATATATATATATATATATATATATATATATATATATATATATAAGAGCTGTACCGAATAGGTGATTATCACTATTTGACAGAATACGAATAACAGGACCAACTATTCGGAAAGAATAGTGTATAAAATAGATCTAAAAAACATTAATAATGTCAATTGTACGCTAAAAAATTTTTTCACAAAATGTAGTACAGAATATTCTTCTTCTTCTTCACATTCCGAGCCCTTGATGTTCACTGCTGCAGATATCACTTGTCTCCATTTATCTCTCTGGTTGGCCTTCTCTTTCCATTTGGTGACAGCAATAGTTTGCAGGTCTTTCTGGACTTTATCTCTCCATCGTCTTTTTGGTCTGCCTCATGGCCTACAACCATTTATCTCCCTTGTGAATACAGTTTTTACTTCTCTGTCATCTGACATTCTGTCAATATGTCCCAACCATTTCAGTCTATTAGCTCTCATGATGCCAGTGATTAATGGTGATTGAAACAGATTATGAATTTTGTTGTTGCTTCTCACTATCCATTCCCCGCTGTTTGCATTTTTGATGGGTCCAAAGATTTATCGTCAGATTATATAAACAAATCTGTAATAAGACTTTATCTCTTTTAGTTGTGCTCCAAGTTTCAGAGCCATATAAAACAACTGATCTTATCAACGTTTTATATATTTTAATCTTGGTGTTGCCAGACAGACACTTTGACTTTAGCAGTGTTAAAGGGCATAGTTTACTTTATTTCCAGGTTGTATTTTAGATTTTATTTCTTCTCTCAGAATGTTGGAGCAGTTGAAGTTTGCACCCAAGTACTTAAATGTTTTCATTTGTTTGATTTTCATATTACCGACTTAGATGTGGTCGTAGTTTATATTCTTTCCCTGTTTGATTAATATTCGTACAGAATAGTAAACATTTAAAAACATGTTATTTTTTGCATCCTTCAATGAGTCTGTAGTAGCTGATAATGAGAAAAATTCTCATTATTATAACTAGTAACTCAACTTGTAAATTGTCACTGACAGCTTAGTTAATGCATGAAAGCTGCATTAGCTTTCAATAAAACCGATTGTTCCATGCTGTCAGCATTAAGGAAGTATTCGGCCGAATACCGAAAAGTTATTAGGTCCACTATTTGGCCCCGAAGCGAATACGAAGTGAATGTTCAGTACAGCTCAGTTTGCAGATACTCAATATTCTGTGTCGTCATAATAATGTTTTTATTGTGATTACCAGACAGGCTCCTTAGCTCCATTAACTTTTTTTTAAAATTTATCTTGTTATATTTTCATTTTAGGTTTGACCCATGAATTCTAGTGCATGACCTGAGCAGACATAACAGAGAAATTTCAGAACAAAGTTACACACAGCTTGATCAGTGAACAGTGAAATGTTAGCTAATCCCATGTATTTCTGCTGCATAATTGGAAAACATTTGAAACGCTGAGTCATCATCCATTACTGTGCCGGTTGTTTTTGTAGCACAATGACTGAAAATGCTAGCCTCAATTCTTGGCACAACTTTTATACAATGTTTCAGAATTCAAAAATCTTGTTTTCACCTCAAGTAAGTGGACAGGAAGTGAAAGTGAAGAACGCTGGAACCTCTTTGTTTTTTGATACAGGGGGTGAATATGCCAAAAATCTGTTCAAGACCTGTGGGCTGTTAGGAGGGGACATTGTAAAACTGAATTTCTTATTGTGGAAGTTAGAAGAGATCTGCCTTCCAAAGATTATACTCATGTATGAGCGTTTCAAGAGTGCAGAGAACATTTTTAGCATTGAACATTCATTACCAGAATTATATGGACTTGAAAACCAGGTAGCAAGGGTTAGTGGATATTGCAAATCAGCAGATAGTTTCCATTTAGAGTCAGAAATTGCTGGTACAGAAAATGCTATTAAAATAGAGAATGTGACGCTAGCTGCAGAAACCCCTGTTAGTAATTGCAGTCACAGGAATGATGTTTTCACTGATCCTGCTCATGATGCTGTTACAGATGTAACAGATTCAACAACAGAATCTCAGAACTCGACACTTACATCTTTAAAAAATGAGCTGCAAATGTCACTTCATGAGAGCAGTCATAATTCTGTTGCAAAGTTTTCACACAAAACTCAGTTAATTGATACGGCAGATACCAAACAAAATGACTCTGAGTTTACAAACTCTCCAGGCCATCGTGGTTTTCGAAGAAGTAGTCGTAGAATAAAAGTGACCCCTCGTTTCTCAGATGTGAGCAGCATGATCATGAAATCTTTGAAACGTCCTCTCGTTAAAATTGACACAACAGATGAAAATAATGACCACAATGCTGCACATATCCAGCTGCCATCAATGTGTTCCACATGCAAGAAATGCTTTTCCAATCCTCATGATCTTGTCATTCACTGGCTAACTCATAGCAGTAATAAAAACAAGAAAAGTCATGAGATCATGGCTTTCTTATGCAATCTTTGTAATTTATCCTTTAGCAGTTACCGCTCATTACAAGTCCATTATCAGCTGCATTCCCAGGAACTGCAACTCAGCTGTAAACAGGCAGATGTATGTTCTATCCTTAATCAGGTTATACCACAAAAGCAAGGATCAGAGGACGCAGACTACCAGACAAAATATTTATGTGAAGATTGTGGAGAAGCTTTTCAAGATAAATATCAGATAGAACGCCATCTGCAGAATCATGTGGCTGCTGGTGAAACATGTGAAGTTTGCAAGAAAAGTTTTGCTAATGCACATAGCCTTGAAAATCACATGAAAATTCATAACAATGACCGCCCATTCAAATGTCAATTCTGTGCTAGATCTTTTGTAAATCATCAACACTGCAAAAATCATGAAAGCATTCATACAGGGGAGAAAAATCATTGCTGTCCACACTGCGGAAAGCGTTTTCGTCAGAAAACTGGACTTGATTATCATATTAAAACTCACAACCCAGAGGAACAATTAAAATGTCTCAAATGTCCCAAAACTTTTATTGATCATAGACAGCTGGATAAGCACATGGATAGACATAAAGGAATCAAGTCCTATTTTTGTGACACTTGTGGTAAGGGGTTTCTGAGAGAACCAGGTTTTATAGCCCATAAGAAAATGCATGAAAAGGGTAGTAACTTTAAATGCTGTATTTGTAACAAGCGTTATATTAGTCAGGCTGTTTTAGATGCACATCAGAGTATTCACACAGGTGAGAAACCACATATATGTGACATTTGTGGAAAGAACTTCCGCCTTCCTCAAGGTCTGATCAATCATAAAAGACTGCATAATCCACGCAAACAGTTAAACTGTCCCCTGTGTGATAAAGCCTATGTTGAGAAACGTAACTTAGATTTACACATGTTAGCACATCAGGGCATTAAACCACATACTTGTGATGTCTGCGGGCGAAATTTCTTGAGAGAGATTAGCTTAAAAAAGCATTTAAATCGTCACAAGAATCCGGAGGCACATAAATGCAGGATTTGTGACAAAACATTTGTTGACAAATGGGGTCTGGTCAAGCATATTACAATTCACACAGGAGAGAAGCCATTTGTTTGCAGCATATGTGGCAGAGAGTTCCGCATCAAGAAAGGTTTAGATGACCATTATAAGCTTCACAACAAGGACTTGCAGCTAAAATGTCCTATTTGCCCAAAAACGTTTGTGGAAAAACGTGGTTTGGAATACCACCTGAAGGCACACAAAGGGGAGAAGTCACATGTCTGTGAGCTGTGTGGTGAGAGATTCAGTAATCCAAATTGCCTTAAAGTTCATTATCGACGCCATACTGGAGAGAAACCTTACAAATGTTCATTTTGTCCTAAAGCATTTAGCCAGCAGGGAACTCTTATTGCACATGAACGATTTCACAGAGGAGAGAAACCTTATGTGTGTGATCTGTGTGGCGAAGGATTTATCACCAAAAGTCATCTGACTATTCATGTTAGAAAACACACTAATTACCGACCATTCAAATGTGAGCACTGTGATTATGCCGGCACAACAAGAAGTTTGCTTAATATTCATCTGCTGAAGCATACTGATGAAAAACCCTTTCAGTGTACAGTCTGTCCTTCAGCTTTCAAACGGCAGCATCATTTGGACAGTCATCTCCGCAAGCACGTGGATGGTGAGAAGTTTTATCGTTGCTCTTTTTGTGATGTGGCATATTCAACAGAGCAGCGACTGGACAAACACATGAAGACTCATGAAATAGTGGTTGTCACTGGTGAATCAGGAGAGGAGATTTTTCAGGTCTCTACTACTGGCCCGGACATAGGTCCAGGAGAAGTGGCTTATGATATTGTTTTACTGTGATCAGTAGATCTTCAAGAACCATGTTCGAGTAATTTGTATTTTAGTTTTTATGAAGTAGATGTTGGCTGACTAGAAAATAATTGTGCAAGGCTTCTGACTTATGGTTCATGAACAGAGAAATATTATGTATGTGTGTGTGATTGAGAGATAGAGAGACTGGGCAACAATGTCAATGCATCAGCTGTTAGAGATAGAAATGAGCCTGTCTTATAGGCTGCTGCCCAGGCTAAATGTCATATAAAACATTTAACCCACTAAAGACTATTTATAGCATGTGTGAATCTTGTATATAAACATTTCCAGTCTCAGTGGTCATATTAAGTTTTTGCACTGTGCTGAGATTCTCCTCTAGTGATCTATAGGAGGGGACAAGATCAGTTATAGATGTATCCATATGTAAAAAGAGTGATCCTTGAAATTATGTGTTTGTGTTGTTTCAGCTGGAGTGGAACATTTATGCATATAAGATTTTAATGTGCTGCTAACATTGTTTAATTGTATCAGTATTTCAATAATGCTGAATCTGCGATTCATTGTTTGAAATTATACGGAGTGAATATTTATTTATAATGAAATTTGTTACCTTGCTTTTATTATGTGTGGAATACTTTTGGAATAGAAGAGAAACTACATGACTTTGTATATCTTCTACTCCATATGTTCATCTTCTACTTCTTCTTGTCTCCTGCAATGCATGGCAGTGCATACTTGAAAATAATTTTATGAGCTCAAGGTGTCCTTTGTCTGCTTGCATTAGTGCAATAGTTGTTGACAAAGACATGTCTTGAACAGTGTACAACGGGTGTGTTTTCTAATTTCACTACAGGGAGAAATGCTTTCTCATAGCCGCCTTTTAATTGTATATGTATTACTATTGTGTAGAAATTGAAAGAACGAGTAACATATATAGAACATTGGTCTATTTATTCTGGTTCTGTAAGCTCTTTTTTTGTTTTTCAACAAATCACTTGTGTGGAAAATAGTTTCAAGTTCTCTCACAGGCATGTTTCAGTTATTGTCCTGTTGTGCCATTAGATGTCACATTGGGCTCGCAGTCTATTTCTCCAATCTATTTTATCGTGCACAATCATTTTGGTATGGATGGAATCCAGTCCAGCAGTTTTAGCCTCTCTCGTCTCATGAGTGTTCGTTTCAGGGTTTCTTTTGGGAATCCTTGCCTCCTAAATCCCTTTATTTCCCATTTCAGAGCTTGTTTAGTGATTTTCTGCTGCCTGCTTCTCAGGATGTATCCAGTATAGTGCCATCTTCTCTGTCTTATAACTGTTGGTGCTAGTGGTTGCCTAGACATTTCTCTTATTTCTTGACTCCTTTTGAATTTATCCCATTTTAATTTCATCATTGTCCTTAGGCATTTGTTTTTGAATGCAATTAACTGTAATTCCATGTTTCTAGTGGTTCTCAAATTTTCACTGGCATGTGTTAAAAGTAAATAAACATTAGAATTACAAATCTGTAACTTGGTTTTAAAACTAAACGAATTAGAGTACCATATTTTGTTCAAGCTATTAAAAGCTGTTGATGCTTTGCCAATGTGTGTCAAAATTTCTTTCTTTGTATTTTCTTCACTTAAAAAAAATTACTACCCGAATAAGCAAATTGATATGTTGCTTTCATTAGTTTTGTCTCTGGTGTTAAATCTGCTTGATTTGTTGTTGGTGTCTCCAGTATATTTGTCTTTTCATAAATTATTAGTAGTCAGACCTTTGATGCTACATTTGACCATACTACAAGAGAAGTGCAGAGAGCAACAGAGGCCACTGCTCATTGCTTTCATAGATCTCACTAAGGCCTTTGAATATGTCAGCAGAGATGGTCTATTCGGGATCCTTGAAAAATATGGATGCCCACCTATACTACTGAGCCTAATCAAATCCTTTCATGAGAATATGAAGGGGACCATAATAAATGAGGATTCATCATCTCGACCCTTCCAGATTCGAAATGGAGTAAAGCAAGGATGTGTTCTGGCTCCCACGCTGGTTGGCATCTTTTTTACCGCATTATTGAGGCTTGCATTTGGGACAGCAGCTGAGGGGATATACCTCCGTTTGGGGTCAGATGGCAATCTTTTTAATCTGTCCAGGCTACGTGCAAGGACGAAGGTGCACATGAGATGCCTCAGGGATTTTCTGTTTGCGGATGATGCAGCCATTGTGGCACATTCAGAGGATGATCTGCAGATCCTGATGAATCGCTTTGCAAATGCTTGCAAAGAATTTGGGCTTACCATCAGTCTGAACAAAACACAAGTGATGGGATTGAATGTTGGAAATCCACCAAACATTAGTGTTTATGACCATCAGCTGCTGGCTGTAAATGAGTTTGAGTACCTAGACTCACGTATCTCAGGCAATCATTTTCTGGATGCAGAACTAAACAAACGTATAGGAAAGGCCTCTGCTATGTTTGCAAATCTCACAAAGAGAGTCTGGTCAAACAAAAAGCTAACTGATAATACAAAAATGAAGGTTTATGAGTCTTGTGTCCTGAGCACATTACTGTACGACTGCGAATCCAGGACTCTCTATGCTCCACAGGAAAAAAGACTGAATACCTTCCATATGTGCTGTCTGAGACGCATCCTTGGTATATTATGGCGAGACCTTGTCTCCAACGAATGTGTGCTCACAAGAGCAAAAATACCATCAATGTATTGTCTACTGAAGCAAAGACGTCTGCGCTGGCTGGGACATGTCTCCCGCATGGAGGATGGTCGTATTTCAAAAGATCTCCTATATGGTGAATTGGTAACTGGGAATAGACCTACAGGAAGGCCAAAGCTGCGCTATAAAGATGTATGCAAACGTGACCTAATAGATACCAACATAGGCACAGAGACATGGGAAAAATCAGCTGCAGATCGACTACTATGGAGACAGAAAGAGAAAGACGGACTGTCACATTTTAAAAGAAACCGAACACAACGAGCTGTGGAGAGGAGACACCGGAGAGTAAAACTTCCTCACAACGAGGGAGTATCTGCTTTTGTGTGTATCCTGTGTGGCAAAGGCTGCCATTCCCGCAACGGACTTTACAGTCACAGCAGATGCTGTTCCCAAAGCCAGCGGCACATCTCCATAGTCCCCCGGGACTGACGGATGCCATAATGTTACATCTGCTTGATTTGTTGTTGGTGTCTCCAGTATATTTGTCTTTTCATAAATTATTAGTAGTCTCACCTTTGATGCTACATTTGCTAAATCATCTGTTTTTCTTTGCATGTCGTTTCTTTTTTTTTTCTTTTTTCAACTCAGCAGAGCAAAATTCAGATCTTCTGAGTAATATTCTCCACCCAGTCAGTGCCGATGTTTCCAACACAACAGTTTTTCATCACTTAGTTATTGCTTATGCCAGTTAACAGAGACGATAAAAATGCATCACTGTTTCACCCCATTATCAACTTCAAACAAGTCATTTAAATCATTGTCTGTTCTCACTGTACACTCTGAACCTTCATACAATGCCTTAATAATGTTTATTGTTTTCATTGGTAAACCATAGTATTCCAAAATTGATGTGATGTTCTGTATTAGCTATCAAAAGCATTCTTAACATTGACAAAATTCAAAATAAGGGGTTGTTCTTTTAAAAAAATTTCCTCAAATATAAGTCTCAGAGTGAATATTTGATCTAAGCAGCTTCTTCCAGGTTGAAAATTGAAAACCTACGTGTTCCTCTCTCATGATTTTTGTCCACTACCCCTTTTATTCCATTGAGAAACATACATGTTTAGGAAGCAAAATAGTTTTCGTGCATTTTTTTTTATTATGTTGCTTCTCTACTGTTCTTTTTTATTGGTTGTCAACACCAGCTGATTTGCATAATTTGTCTTTACTTTTAGCTTCTTGCTAGATATTTCTGCTCTGTATACAGATAATTGTGTGTCACAATGCGTCAGTGACCTGATTCCATTTATGTTGATTGGAGTAATTATCTTATTGGTTTAAGTGGTGGATATCCAGATACATTGTTATTGCTGTTGTCTGTGAATCTTTGAGGCAGATTGAACTATTTTAAAGCTTACTGCACTGGTGTTCAGGTCAACCGAGCCATAGAAAAGTGCTCATTTTATTAGAGACCTTATAGAGACATGAGAAACCTGTTCTCTATGGTTTGATAGCAAAGTAAAAGTACTGCTGGGTCTGTAATGCGGAGCTCTCCTACTCCTCTTCTAGCTCAGACACAAGGGTGCACAAGACTTACATGAGCATCACAGAGAAGATATAAGTAGGTCATTATTTAGCACCTTACTCAAGGTCTGACTGTTATTAGGTCTGTATTATGTTTCCTCCACAGATTTTAGGTATGTCATTGCTGACTGACTCAAACATAATGTCTGGAGGAACTATAGAGATATAAAAACAATCCTCTTAAATCAGTAGTTGCATTGAGGTTACAGTGTCTGCCTTTGTTGTTTGCAGACATTTGATTTAGGGTGGACTGGATTTTATACAAAAGTAAGAAGAAAAAAAAATGTTTGTGGGATAGTGGATCTCACATGTTAGCATTCTCAGACAGTGATGAAAAAGTAGATGACCTGTGTGCATGCTGCATATGTTAACAGTCCCTTAGCAGATGGAAATTTCAAAAAGCAGGTTGCTGCCCAGACTCGATCAATTCAGAATTTCAAAAGCTACCCACACAACTGTTCTTTAGTCATGTGATGGGGGGGGGGGGGGGGGGGGGCTTTGGAGAATATTGTGATGACTGGGAAGATCAACGGTAGAAAAGGGAGAGGCAGACCCAGAGAGATGATAGATGGATGGATTGAGACGGTGGCACAGAGGGATATCATCAGTGGAACTGATCCAGAAGACAAGGGACTGAGATCTATGGAGAATGCGCCATTAGGCAAGGTACATGATGATGATGATGACCCACACAAATAATATTTCTAGATTGTTTGATGTGGATTCTGGACATTTGTTTAGAACTTTGCTGGTGCTATGAGTTCATGCACTGTGCTGAATTTTCGCTTG